TATCAGCCCCACTCCTCCCCCTCCAGCATGGACCCCCTACCTACCACCTCGCCTCGCTTTACAGCTCTGTCCTGTCTCCACCACACCTGTTTCTGTCCTGCCCAGTGCCTCAGACTTCCTGGAGATACTTGGCCCTGCCTGCCCTCAAGGTGAGCAGACAGACAGTACAGCAGGTGACAGCAGACAGGACAGAGGCAGCATGTGGCTGGGTGTGTGTGTGGAGGTGAGCCACAAGGCACTAAGCTGCATTTCTGCTCAGACACAGTGGCACTGCTCTGCTCTGTCAGTCCAGAGCAGGTAGTTGCATCCAGCCTCATTCTGACAATGGGTTTTCAATCAGGCTCACAGTTTCTTAGTTTTTTATGGACAGCTTGAGTTCTTTTCTTTTACAGACCTTATGGACAAAAGTTTTCAGTTAAAAATCACAGCTAGAGACCATATGAAGCATTTCCCATTCAACCATCCTTTTTCATGATGTGTTTTTTAATGTTTATTTTTTATTTGTTGAAAAACTGAACTAGGATGGGGGAAAAATTACTCTGGGGGAAAAATGCAGTGGTCTAAGCAGATAACCTGCCATTTTTCTCTTAGATAGGGGAATGAGTTCTGCTTTCTAGGTTGCAACATTTTTATTTCTTCCAGAAGCAGCTTTGAACACACAACTAATAAGCTAATGGAAGTACAAACAAATATGCAGCTGTCTTCCTTCAAGACATGAGTCTTTCTGGGTCTGTGCCTTTCCCCAGCACCACCACTTGTCCTCTCCTTCCTTTGCACTCCCTTTGTAGAGTTTTGCAACTCTCTTTCTGGCTCCTTCATTATGAATTGGTATCAGTTCCAGCTGGTTGCCAGTTTCTCATCCAGGAAGACTATTAGCAGCTGAGCACCTGAAGCTGGGTTCTGAGCTTTTGAGGGGCCAAGCAAAAGATTCTTTAAAGAGATCATCTTCTTTTGGACTTTGGAACGTGTACCATTATTTTATGTCGGTAGAATGGGCCTGACACTCCAACATAACCAGGATATTATATATCCTCAAAAGAGGAAAGTCCCAAACTAGCCAGTTGATCATGTTATATTTTTATAAAATTATTTACATTTTTTTTGATCATGGCAAATCTATTGGCACAAATAGTACAGCCACACATTAATCTTTTGTTTTTAATAACTGACATTATATATATTTTTTGTTTATCTCATTCCCCAGTAAAGGGGATAAAAACAAAACAACAAAAAATTAGATATACAAAATAAGCTGATGGTAACACAATGCCAAAAATACTTTATTATGTTAAGTGCCTTGATATAAAGCTTGATTGCAACAACATTTCAGTGTACAAATTTAAAGACAAGCCTTGCATTAAAATATCTCTTGAGCTCCATTTCTCGCTCTCTTTAGGATGATTTTTTTATATCTATATACACATATCCAGTTGTAACACTTGACAGTAGCATCATGAAACATTTAAAGAATATAACTTGATAAGTACACGTTGCAGACATGGGGTAGTTAATTTCTGTTTGGTTTCTTCCTTCAAGGGTTTACAACCTTATGTTGAGTGCTAGCCTCAGTCAGGTGACCAGCCACCTGATGCAGTCTAATACCCAGCTAATGCTTCCCAAAATCCCACAGTTTTGATTATGAATGCTTATTGGATCCATACAGAATTGCCTGTCTCTGGTCTGTGAGGTTCCACAGCCAGTTCCCCAAATGTTGAGAAAAACTGCTCCATCTCTTTTTGTAGCATATCATTCCTTTTCTCTGCATCATCTTTTGCCCGCTCTGCATTGCGCATTTTGATTTCTACCATTGTAAATTTTTTCCTCTCTTGATCCAGCATTTCATGAAGGGTCATCATTTCTGTCTCCAGGGTGAGATTTCTCTGTTCCAAGCTGCAGAAACAAAAATGGAACACTTGAATAAGTTTGGCTAAAACATTCCATGTATTAGACAGGCAAACTCAGGATGACAGATCCAAGCTTAGAATGAGTTGCTTCCAGTGGCACTTACAAATAACTGGTTTATTACTTGATTACTTCCCTCACTTTATGTGGGTCCTGTATGTGAGAATTTGCTCTTATTTGCTCTTATTTTTTATGCTAAAAGTTCGTTATATGATGTGCACCAAAAATATAGTCTTCTGTGTGGATCTGTGCTCCCTTTATGCGAATTCAAGTTATGTGCCATTTTCCAGGAATG